CTCCAAACCTGTTGCTTGATAGTTGTTACAACTTTCAGTTAAACGATAACTGAATGTTGTCAAAGCTGGTCCTTTTAAATGAGAAGCAAGATAGATGACTTGTTTTTCACTATTCCACCCATTCACCCTAGAAATGATTTCAAACTGAGCATAGTATGACTCCCATGGTACCTTCCCATCAGAGTATGTTGTTTTTTATATTGACCAATGTTGAACTAACCAGCTAAATTCTGGAACTGGAGAAGTCCAGGAATGTCCTTCAGTAACAGGTGGTGCAACGGAAGTGGTAATAGTTGTTGAGCAAATTAGTTCTCTTACTCCTTACATCGTAGTAGATAATGGTTTTGGCTGCAACTCTTGAGGCAATGCAAAAAGGGGTGTGGCTGGTTTAATCTTTACATTTAATTATTTTTTTTCCAGATGTATTATTTTGTCACTGATGTTCTTTTTTCTTCAGTGATGCTCTTTTATACCTTGTTGACGCCCTTCTGTACTTCACTTTTGAATTCGCCCTCCAGTGGCACAGCGGTATGTCTACGGACTTACAACGCTAGAATTGGGGTTTCGATACCCGTGATGGGCAGAGAGGACAGATAGCCCATTGTGTAGCTTTGTGCTTAATTACAAACAAAACAAAACACTTTTGAATTCATTAATTTTGTCATTATAGCCTATTTATACCTCCTTGATGTTTTTCTGCATTTCTTCAAACTTTTTATTGTAATTCCTCTGTACATCTCCTATAGTTTTATCAATAACATTTCACCTTTTTCCTATCCATTGGGAGAAATTATTATTCCTACAAGCCTTTTTGTCTACAATTTTTGGCAATGTGTTCTTTCAAGTTCCATTTGAAACACTTATTATCTTGTGGTTTATTCCTTCCATTCTGCTAAATATTTATTTTTGATAATAATTCTCCTTTGAATAGTAGGTTTCTTTCTTTTAAATCCTCCCTTAAAATCCTGTCATGTAATTCTAATTTTCTGCATTGCTCTTCATGGTCGTCTTTTAATTTTCTGTTCTGCACTTTCTTGTCTTATTTTAATTTTCTGTTCTGCACTTTCTTGTCTTATTTTAATTTTCGATCATGATCTTGATCCTCGTTAAATTTTCTGTCTTATTATTCATTCCTCCTTATTTTGTTTAATAAGTTTGACCTCACTCACTCCTTGACCTTTTGATTATCATATTCAACAGTTGAATTTCTATTTCAAGTATATTCAGAGTTATGTTTTATTTTAATCAAAATAATATATTAGAGGATTCTTTTAAAATTATATGGTGAAAATAATTCAAAGTCCAGTCCACATGATGATAATAAATTACTTTATTCCCCTTTTAAAGTTTCTACAGTCTTGAACACTTGTATACTGTCGTCAGTTTTGCTATAGGCTTACAAATGACCTTAACTAACATAAAACAAATCATCTTACTTCTAAGAAGTAATCAAGATAGATAACACACTGATTGATTCACTCTTTATCTTGAAATCACGCTACATTTTCTTAATTATATTCTATATATGCTCTACTTTCGAATGTGTTCGAAAACTTTACATCACATCCTTAGAACTATCTAGTAGGTGTTCTAAGCCTATCATACTGTTACGTCTCCGTTTGTTAATTAACTTTCCGTAACTTCGTTGGGACGAAACTTTAGCGACACAAGTCCTTACTTAATAAAACTGGTTTATTCTTTCTGAATATAACTTTACGATACACTTAATTTCAACATTCGCGCTAAAACAAACGCTATAACGAACGTTAACTTCAACAATACTCTGACTGCAGTAGCCCGGCATGGCCAGGTGGATAAGGCGCTCGACTCACAATCTGAGGGTCGCGGGTTCGCATCCCACCAAACATG